GACTGATGATTTTGCAGACTTTTCATCATTTTCTCCTGGAACAGCAGTGGCTGGTAAGGCTCATTTATGTTCGTACAGATTTCAAAGAAAAGAATGACTTGGTTAGATAATGAAGTGGTCAGTACTTAATTATTCCTTCATAATTGTAAATGAACTTAAAAAAAAAAATTCTTAAGAACATAAGAAAGAAGGAACACTGCAACAGGTCTACTGACTCATGCTGAGCAGGTCCATGTCTCCCCCTGGATTAGCCCAATGACCCCTTCCCCCCGGATTAGCCCAATGACCCACCCAGTCTCGTCACCTCCGCTCAAGGATGGAGCACAGCACCAGACCCAGCAGCACAAGCTAGTCAGGTCTAACTCATACCTGCCCACACTCGCTCGTGTATTTATCTAACCTATTTTTAAAACTATACAGCGTTTTAGCCTGAATAACTGCACTCGGGAGTTTGTTCCACTCATCCACGACTCTATTACCAAACCAGTGCTTTCCTATATCTTTCCTGAATCTGAAGTTTTCCAACTTGAAACCATTGCTGCGAGTCCTGTCTTGGCTGGAAATTTTCAGCACGCTATTTACATCCCCTTTATTTATTCCTGTTTTCCATTTATACACCTCGATCATATTCCCCCTAATTCTATGCCTTTCGAGAGAGTGCAGATTCAGGGCCCTCAGTCTATCCTCATATGGAAGATTTCTGATACATGGGATCATCTTTGTCATCCTCCTCCTGTACGTTTTCCAGAGCATTTATATCCATTCTGTAATACGGTGACCAGAACTGAGCAGCATAATCTAAATGAGGCCTAACCGAGGATATATAGAGTTAAAGAACAACCTGAGGACTTCTATTATTTATACTTCTAGATATGAAGCCAAGAATTCTGTTAGCTTTATTGCGAACACTAATGCACTGTTGTCTTGGTTTTAGATTACTGCTAACCAGAACTCCTAAATCCTTTTCGCAATCAGTAGTATTAAAATCTACATTATTTAGTTTATATGTGGCATGGTTATTTAACTGTCCACCATTTAGAACTTTGCATTTGTCAATATTAAACTGCATCTGCCACTTCTCTGACCATTGCATCAGTCTATTCAAATCATTCTGGAGTGCTCTAGTGTCCTCATTAGAATGAATTGAATGGCCTATTTTGGTGTCATAAGCAAATTTGCTTATGTCACTATTTATTCCCTCATCTATGTCGTTTATGTAAATTGTGAACAACAACGGGCCCAACACTGACCCCTGAGGAACACCGCTTGTGACGTGCCCCCATTCTGATTTCTCCCCATTTATGCAAACTCTCTGCTGCCTATTTGTCAGCCATGCCTCTACCCAGCAAAAAATTTCTCCTATTCCGTGTGCCTTAAGTTTCCTCAATAGCCTCTGATGTGGAACTGTATCGAAAGCCTTACTGAAGTCCATATACACAATATCATGTTCATTACCATGATCTACCTCCTCAAACACCTTAGTGAAAAAAAGTTAGTAAATTCGTAAGACAGGAACGCCCCTTTGTAAAACCGTGTTGAGATTCATTAATCAATCTGTGCCTATCAAGATGGCTACGAATTGCTTCGGCAATTATTGAGTAACCCTTGGTATGTGTTATATGATATCCATCAATGGATTTGAAGATCAGTATTGCTCACCATACAACATAGAAGAGCTTGTATGACATTTATATTACTGTTTTAATAAGAGACCAAAATGTCTATGTGCCTGGCACAATTTTTTCTTGGAAGCATTAATCACTTTGCTGTCCATGCCATAATTTTAAGGGTTTGAAGTCAGTGTCCTTGCCATAAAATTATGCCATGAGCTCATCTCATTCTGAGAACAGCACTGTGAGTGGTAAATTTGGGCCTATATATGAGAGACCGGGTCTGTGTGGCAAGTGTGCACCATTTAAAAAATCCTGCAGTACACAGTGCATAATGAGAAAAAATTGCAACAGTGTTTATGGTTTAAAACATTACTTTGTGGTGTACAGCCTCTTCTCACTTAGCGATGTACTCGTTTACTGATGACTCAGACTTACGACAAGCTCTCTGACCAATATACTTACCTAAATAATTTATATTAGAGCTGATTTCCTCTATTCTCTTTATTACAATATACAGTACACTTCTGTATAAACATTTAAAAATGCAGCCTCTCCTCACTTAGCAATGTATTCGTTTACCAATGACTCAGACTTACACTGGGCTTTCTGACCAGTATGCATGCCTAAATAATGTATATTAGAGCTGATTTCCTCTATTCTGTTTATTACAATGTTCAGTACACTGCTGTATAAACATTTAAAAATATACCAGAAATGTTATAAATGGTGCAAAGGTGATATTGAAGCAGTATCATAGATAGTTGACACAAACCCACTACCATTATGTTATGCTCCTCACTTAGTAACGAATTCATTTACTGACGTGGTCTTAAGCATGGAACTCTGTTGTTAAGTGAGGAGAGGCTGTATTATCATACGATTTTTATGGCTGTATTTATGGTTTCTTGATCTCATTTGATAGAATGGAAGATATATTACAGAAATAGAGATGATTTTGGTTGGTTTCAGGACTAAAAATAACTTGAAATTAAGTAGCAGAAATGTTATATTTTTGCCTATACTTCAGAGTACACATATTACGTCACTCATCTAATACATGTCCAGTTGGTCAGTTTAATATGCATTCACGAATGCACTAACATTATTTATACAATTATTACAATAATGCAGTAGTGTGCATAACAGTAAATCTATTCTTTGTGTGAATAACGATTCAAAATGGAAAAAGTGTAATATAGGAGAGGCCTGGAGACGTAACTAATAAACAGGAAATGTTGTGCCAGGAATGTCTACATCTGGGACAGATAACACAGATACAGACAGAGACTCAGATGCAGTGTATTTGTAACTGAGTACTATTTCAGTGCCTAATATTAGTGTCAGAACAAAAGATTGGCTATGAAATTACAAGAACTACTATAAATTGTAATTATCAGAACATAAAAATTATACAAATTCAAATAGGCGAGAAAAATGGTATGTAGGCAACAATTCTGCAAGCGGCAGGACATCATGTTGCCGTCAGGTGAGCGTCCAGCACCAACTTCCTGGCCTTATATATTGGCAAGTACTGATCCTAAATTTTTTTTCTGTCTTGTTACACCCAGAAAATTGCCCTCTTTAATTTAAAAAAAAAAAAAAAAAAATATTCGGAGCACTAGCAGTGAAAATGTAGATCTATGTTTGGACAGTTAAAGGTTAATAGTAAAAAGTGTTTTGTAAAATAGGAATTTTGTTTTGTAAGTGGAGATAAATCATAATGACCCAAGTAATGAATCAGGACTAAAAGTATTCTATGGACATTCATATTGCATTGTGATAAAATTATGGAATCCTTGTATATCATATATTATGGTATAAACCTTGGTAATAAATACCGACAAGTTGGTTTAGAAAGACACGTAAGCAAACACCGACATATTCATTAGAAAACGTTTCGGTCCTGGGACCTTGATCACTTCTAACATACAGAGGTAGAAAGACATTATATATATAGGCGGAGAGTGAGGTGTGACACACGTGACCTGAGGAATGTCATAAGAACATAAGAATGGAAGAACACTGTGGAAGGCCTACTGGCCCATGCGAGGCAGGTCCTTATCAAAACAACCTCTACCTATGATGAGGATGGGTAGACGATGAAATCATGCGACTCCTCTGTTGTTGGGTTGGTGGTGCTTAAGTATCATGTATGCCAATTTTTTGAAATTTTGTAGTTTCCAGTGTTGTGTTCTATAGCGTCGGTGATGGCGATTAGCGAGGCTTCTAGGCACCGTCGGCGTCTGAGGTCTGGTTCGGTGAGAACGAGTTGTGCCTCATTCCAGCTCATCAAATGCCCCGTGGAGTCTCTGTGGAGGACACAGGCGTACCTTACATCGTCTCTGTTAGAGGCATTTCGATGCTCATTCAGGCGGACTGCAAGATCTCTGCCTGTCTCGCCTACATATTTCTTGGGACAGAACCCACAGGGGATAGTGTAGACGCCTGCTGTAGAAGTTAGAGGTGTGGGGCTGCGTTTCGTAGTGAGGTCTTTGATAGATGTGTTTATGGTGGAAACGTTGATGTTACTCATAGCAAGTGCCCGGCGAGTATTCGTGGCAACATCACCACATGGGAGTACCATGAACTGCTTAGGGGGCTGTTCCATGGGCGGTTTGTTGAGGAGTCCTCATTGGCTTCTTCTTGAGAGCTCTTCGCATCTCCAGCCCTTGTTTTCTAGAAGAAGAATGCACTTACATAACACAAGCCTTTAGATGTCTTCAGTTCCCATCTTTCTTCATCCGAGATTGCAGACTCAAGGCACAAGCTATCCTCAACAAACCACCCATGGAACAGCCCCTAAGCAGTTCATAGTACTCCCATGTGGTGATGTTGCCACGAATATTCGCTGGGCACTTCCTATGAGTAACATCAACGTTTCCACCATAAACACATCATCTATCAAAGACCTCACTACGAAACACAGCCCCACACCTCTAACTTCTACAGCAGGCGTCTACACTATCCCCTGTGGGTTCTGTCCCAAGAAATATGTAGGCGAGACAGGCAGAGATCTTGCAGTCCGCCTGAATGAGCATCGAAATGCCTCTAATAGAGACGATGTAAGGTACGCCTGTGTCCTCCACAGAGACTCCACGGGGCATTTGATGAGCTGGAATGAGGCACAACTCGTTCTCACCGAACCAGACCTCAGACGCCGACGGTGCCTAGAAGCCTCGCTAATCGCCATCACCGACACTATAGAACGCAACACTGGAAACTACAAAATTTCAAAAACATTGGCATACATGATACTTAAGCACCACCAACCCAACAACAGAGGAGTCACGTGATTTCATCGTCTACCCGTCCTCATCATAGGTAGAGGTTGTTTTGATAAGGACCTGCCTCGCATGGGCCAGTAGGCCTTCCACAGTGTTCCTCCATTCTTATGTTCTTATGACATTCCTCAGGTCACGTGCATCGCACCTCACTCTCCGTCTATATATGTAATGTCTTTCTACCTCTGTATGTTAGAAGTGATCAAGGTCCCAGGACTGAAACGTTTTCTAATAAATATGTCATAGTGTTTGCTTACGTGTCTTTCTCAACCATCATATATTATATATCACATCCTTGCAACAGATGGATGTAAATTGGTTTGATAATACAGTATTTATATTTGTAGCTTGCTTCTGTTGTACCATTGTTAGGCTAGGTCATTCCACTTACTATTGCTCTGAAGTGTATTTGGCTGTCTTAAATTGCCTCTGCACATTTGAATTTGTAAGGATGAGCTCTAGCTCTTAGTCCCACCTTTGAACCTTAGAACAAGTAACTTGAAATAGTCCAAAAACAGAATAAATCAGACCCACCTTAAAATTGGTTTTATAAGCTGTAGTGTGTGTTTGACCAGGCACACTGATGACATGGTTTTATTGCTCATCTGGTATCACCATAGTGGTATGAATCTCTTGCATATGGTGTAGACATCAGTTACTTTTAGTCAGTGTGGGAAGGTCATCTCACTCAATAACCCTCTCCCTATAACTGAAGTTCAGTTTACATAAATTTGTTTGTTAATAAAGGATACAATGAAAATTAAGCTCATGTTGAACACACCAGTGTGCTTGGGAGACTAATGAAAACGTGCATGAGTAATGCGTTTCTTGTTGTTAAACTCGGAGATTATTCTATTAACCAAATCCAGCAAGTCTGATTATCCAAACCTGTTAAGACTATGCACCAAACTTCAGCACTATTACTCATTTGTCAGAGCTTAACATTTGATATTATTTAATTAAGAGTATAATTTGATGTTAAGGAAATATACACCAAATTTTTACCACAGGATTTTTTTTTTTTTTTCCAAATGAAGGGGTTAATACCTTCTGTTTTTGTGAAGGCAAAACTTAGTGTTTAGAAGGGATTATAGTACAGAAGTGTTAGTAGTGTAAACTCTGGATAATTTGTGTTTCTCCTGATCCTGTAGGTGGTTCCTCAAATGCTTCCTTGTTACTGGGAATATCCCCAAATCCAGCAGCCTCTGCTTCTTCCACCACTACCCCTGCAGTATCTGGGACAACAGGTGTCCCTTCCAGTAGTAGCATGGACCTGCTGCAAGGTTTATTAGCACCTGTTACACCCTCCTCCCCTGCTACTCCTTCATCAGCTATAATTTCCCCAACTGGTGCTAACACTGACATGGGTGGTTTTGTAGGTGGGCTGACAGCACATGTACACCCACCAGTGACCACAGCCACTGTCATGCCAGTGGCCACTATGCCAGGTAAGCTCATTTGCAAGACTTATTATTTATAACACATTTGCTTGCCTCTAGTTTTTCTTTTTTATATTATGGACTGCATATTTGATTTAATTTCCTGTTGTGTTTATGGGACAAAGTGAGTGCCAATAAGTATTAACTTTGTTAGAATAAGTTGCAGTGTTGTGGCTAGAACAATTGGTAACTAACCCACAATTTGGAGGAATAGTTTCCTCTCAAGTTGTGAGCTATATATGTAATAAGTTTGTACAGTATTTGATAAGTTAAAATTTCATTTTGTACTTCTTTAGACTGCAGCAATACAGTAACCATCGATGTAATGAACTAATAGGGATGTCTGTTTTATCAGATTAACACATATGCACTCTTAGTGTATACCTAATATAGTATTGTACACACATTATACAGATATATTGCAGACTAATGTTGAAAATAAATGTTAAAAGTACAATTTACTCAGTGGATTTTGCCCATAATTTTTAAAGACCATTTATCGAGGATTTACTGTATTTTTCCTCTCTGAATTATATTTTTTAATACGTAGTTTTATAGTGCTTTATTGTATGATCATGTCCTTTGTCTACTATCTGTTTAATTTTTAGAACCATTTTCAGAATTTACCTTTTCTTCCTGATTCTTGTTAAATATTGTTGCATTATTATTCACATGAATGTATATCATGTTTGAGGTTAATAAATTTGTCTCCATCACAGTTAACCCTTTGGGGGTTTCGGACGTACTAGTACGTCTTACGACACAGGGTTTTTGACGTACTAGTATGCCTAAATTCTAGCACCCTCAAATCTAGTGAGAGAAAGCTGGTAGGCCTACATATGTAAGAATGGGTCTGTGGTCAGTGTGTGTGCAGTATAAAACATCCTGCAGCACACAGTGCGTAATGAGAAAAAAAAAACTGTTTTTGGATTAAAACAACGACTTTGCACTGTACAGTGGACCCCCGCATAGCGACCTTAATCCGTGCAAGAGGGCTGGCTGTTATGCGAAATGTTCGGTATGCGAATGAATTTTCCCCATAAGAAATAATGGAAATCAAATTAATCCGTGCAAGACACCCAAAAGTATGAAAAAAATTTTTTTTACCACATGAAATGTTAATTTTAATACACACAAACTGAAAAAGGCATGCACAATTACATGACACTTACTTTTATTGAAGATCTGGTGATGATTGATGGGATGGGAGGAGGGGAGAGAGAGTGTTAGTGTTTAGAAGGGGAATCCCCTTCCATTAAGACTTTGAGGTGTCGAGTCCTTTTCTGGGTTACTTCCCTTCTTTAATGCCACTAGGACCAGCTTCAGAGTCACTGGACTTCTTTCGCACAACATATCTATCCATAGTGGCCTGTACCTCTCGTTCCTTTATGATTTGTCTAAAGTGGTTCACAACATTGTCATTGTAACAGTCACCAGCACGGCTTGCAATAGCTGTGTGAGGTGATTTTCATCAAAAAAGGTTGTGCACTTCAAGCCATTTTGCACACATTTCCTTAATCTTTGTAGTAGGCAATTCCTTCAATTTTCTCTCTCCCCTCCTTTGAACCAGTTTCCCCAGGTCTGGCCTCTTGCTCTTGAAGTTGATCTATCAGCTCATCAGTGGTTAGTTCTTCATTGTCCTCCTCCACAATCTTCCACATCCTCCCCACTAACCTCCAACCCCAAGGACTTCCCCAATGCCACAATTGATTCCTCAACTGGTATACTCCTCTCAGGGTTAGCCTCAAACCCTTCAGAATCCCTTTTGTCTACACATTCTGGCCACAGTTTCTTCCAGCAGAGTTCAAGGTCTTCTTAGTCATCCCTCCAAGCCTTACCTATAAGGTTTATACAATTGAGGATATTAAAGTGATCTCTCCAAAACTCTCTTAGTCAGTTGAGTTTCTGAGGTCACTACAAAGCACCTTTCAAACAGAGCTTTTGTGTACAGTTTTTTGAAGTTTGCAATAACCTGCTGGTCCATGGGCTGCAGGAGAGGAATGGTATTAGGAGGCAAAAACTTCACCTTAATGAAGCTCATGTCCCCATAAAGTCGCTCTGCCACTCTGTAGGATGACCAGGGGCATTGTCTAACACCAGGAGGCACTTAAGTTCTAATTTCTTTTCAGTTAGGTAATCTTTGACATTGGGGGCATATGCATGGTGTAACCAGTTATAGAAAAAATCCCTAGTGACCCATGCCTTACTGTTTGATCTCCACAGCACACACAAATTATCCTTGAGGACATTCTTTTGCCTGAACGCTCTGGGAGTTTCAGAGTTGATACACTAATAAAGGCTTAACTTTGCAATCACCACTAGCATTGGAACACATCAACAAAGTAAGCCTGTCTTTCATAGGCTTATGTCCTGGGAGTGCCTTTTCTTCCTGAGTAATGTAGGTCCTGCTTGGCATTTTCTTCCAAAACAGGCCTGTTTCATCACAATTAAACACTTGTTCAGGTTTCAGTCCTTCAGTTTCTATGTACTCCTTGAATTCCTGCACATATTTTTCAGCCGCTTTGTGGTCCGAACTGGCAGCCTCACCATGCCGTATCACACTATGATGCCACTACGCTTCTTAAATCTCTCAAACCAACCTTTGCTGGCCTTAAATTCACTCACATCATCACTAGTTGCAGGCCTTTTTTAATTAAAATCCTCATGCAACTTCCTAGCCTTTTCGCTTATGATAGCTTTGAGAAACGCTATCTCCTGCTAGCTGTTTTTCATTTATCCACACAATAAGAGTCTCTCAACATCTTCCATCACTTGCGATCTCTGTTCGAAAACACAGTTAAACCTTTGGCAAGAAGCAGCTTCCTTGATTGCCTTTCTGTTGCCACAAATAGTAGAGATGGTTGATTTGGGTTTCTTGTACAACCTGACCAGGTCGTGATAACGCACTCCACTTTCATACTTATCAATGATCTCTTTCTTCATCTCTATTGGAATTCTAACCCTTATTGCTGTAGGGTTGGAACTAGAAGCTTTCTTGGGGCCCATGGTCACTTATTTTCCAGAAACAGCACCGAAAACACTGTAATAATACGAAATATTCCGATTGTATGCTTGAATGTTACCGCGGAGGCTGGCTGGTAAACAATGCCACCGGCGGAACATGAGAGGCTGGCTCAGGCCGCACATTGGACGCGTCTCGGACGAGGGGCACTGAGCAGGATTTTGGGCGGTATGCGAGGCAAAATTTTAGCGATCAAAGCGTCCGGTATGCGGATTGTCTGTTATGCAAGGCGTACGGTATGCGGGGGTCCACTGTATTTTCGTATGGTATTTATTGTTGTATTCTAGTTTTCTTAGAATGGAAGACATATTACAGAAATCGAGATGATTTTGACTGGTTTTACAATGAAAAGTACCTTGAAATTGAGTGCAAAGTAGCAGAAATGTTCGATTTTTACCAAAGTTCAAAAGTAAACAAATTATGCCAAGCGTCCAATACACATCAACTGGTGAGTTTAATATTCTTTCACAAGTGCGCTGATATTATTTATACCATTTCTACACTAATGCAGTAGTCTGCATAATAGTAAATCTTATTTTTTTGTAAGAATAAAAATTCAAAGTGGAAAGCCAAAGAAATATAAGAGGGGCCTGGGGATGTGACTAACGAACAGAGAACTTATTTTAGTGCCAGGAATGTCTTTCTTGTTTATTCTGGACCCTATTCGGAAATTGGCATCTTCTGAAATTTGTGTGAAATTGGCAAAATTGCTAAATTCTGACCACTGTATTGGATAGTTGAAATCGGTAAATGGGTGGTTTCTTGTACTCATTCGATAGAAAATATGGAGTTTTAGCGAAATAGTTATGATTTTTGTCGACTAGTACATTGGAATTGGACGAAAATAGGGCTCAAAGTGGGCAAAATTGCCGAGACTGCTAACTTCGCGAGAACATAATTCCGTAAGTTTTCCATCAAATTTCATACTTTTGGTGTCATTATGATCAGGAAAAGATTCTCTATCTTTTCATAAGAAAAAAAATTTTTTTTTTTTTTTAATTTGGCCGACCCTGAGAAAAAGTCTGAGAGGACCAGTCGACCCCCAAAGGGTTAATGAAAGAAAATTTCTATTTGTCAACTACTTTCTATAATGTTGACATTAAATTTCAAACCAAAGTTATGAGGTTAGTAATACAAGCTACAGCATTTCATGTCTTCATTATGGTTCTGACATAAGTGTGAGAACCTTTATACAGTAGGGCCCCACTTATACTGCAGGTTAGGTTCCAGGCTACTGCCGAAAAGCAGACATCGCCGGGAAGCAGAATGCCATTTTTTCCACTTATAAATGCATATAAATGCCAGGTAGCAAGTTTACACCAACATATATTACATTAGTAATAGAACCAGGCATTAAAAACAAGAAAAGTAAAATACACACACAATACACCCATTACTTAACTTAAAATATTTGTAGTCTTAATGTAGTGTGAGAGGTGAGTTTAATTTGTAGGCACTCAGGTTTGGGAGGTATGGTAGCCAGCCACCCCACCCCACCTACACATAATATACTACAATATTTAATTAAAGCTCCCCAGAGCATAAGTACATAAAGTACATTCATTAATTACCTTAAAACATTTGTAATCTTAATGTAGGGTGAGAGGTGAGTTATGATTGTAGGAAGTCAGGTTGGGCAAGTATGGGTACTCTGCAGGGGCCACCCTCGCATATTCTAAGCAAACCAGACGAACACGTCTGATTTTCGTCACTTTACACTGTGTACAAGTTATCTCCACGTTGATACAGTAGAATTAATAGAGAGAAATGCCCATTCTCATGTAACACCATTTTTAGAAGAAATGACGCCCTGAATGAAGGCATATAAAAGGAATAATTTTTTTAGTTACCCCAGTAATATTATAGTGACACATTTTCTTTGATGTTGGACCACAAGTTGCCTGGCTACCACGAGTCGCCTGGCTACCATGAGTCCTAAAAGTCACTTGGCTACCACATCTCATATTGTTAATTTTTTTCTACTGTGGGGCATATTTAGATGGATTAAGCAAAATGTCTATATTAACGTGTCTACGATATTTA